GTACACTGAACTTCGGTTCTAAATTAGCATGAGCGCATTCCTCTTTTACAGGTCGGCGACAGTGACCGCCACTACTTCCAGCAAAATATTTCACTAGGTAGATAGCTTTTAATAGGCAGGAAACCATGCATTTGCCCGAAGAAAGAGACTAAAGCCTTCTGTTTTGGACACTGAAACGAGTGATGATAAATTTAACAATAAAGATTGTCCTTCTAGGCCTACGTGTCGACCTCAAATTCACAAACTTCACATGCCTCTCATTTGGGGATTTACCAGATTGCTGTAAAACCACGTAATTATTGGCTTATACTGCAGACAGTGTTTAAGCCACAACTAACAGCCGGGTAATAGAAGTGGCCTAGTCTCACAAAAAGGGGAACAAGAAGAGGGAACACGTCTTGGGCAGGCAGACCTGCAATTTGTTACAAATCTGACTCAGCCAGCGGAAGACAAGAGAATGACTCATTTCACTGCATGACTGTTTTGTCTGTCTGTCTAGCACTTACTAGGGTTAAATCCAAGCTTGTGATTTAATCCCCAGTAGTTCGTCCGTGCTACTGCTTTTGTTTCACCTTCTGAAAGACGGCAATTAGTCATATTAACGAACCAGGCCTTCCTACATTATTGATTACATAATTAAATTAATTATTCACAAAATCATTAGCTGACTATCCACATACTGAATTATCTGTCCAAGCAACTAAATAACTGCCTACATAATGTATTATTCACCAGAGTACAGTGGGGATATTTGGCGGATATGCCGGTAGGACCAGGAAACGCGGAAACCGGTGCCATTGATCGCGCCTAGCAGAGAGGCTGTGCCGTGCTGACTCATGTCATTACAGCATATAACGAAGTATCCACGAACTAACCTAATTGCCTACGTAAGTGACCAATTAACTACTACTTATCAAACCAATAAATCATTGCGTGTGAGCCGTTAGAATCTTTAAAAATTTGTTGTTTCATGAAGCCGAACCTTTGAAGGTCAATATTCCATCTTAGAATAACGGCCGAATGTAATTACCAAGGTATCTGCGTCAGTAACAGAATAACGAATTTCTTGGCTATGGAAAATAATTAAAGAAGTGCCTCGTCGTAGATTATAAAGACGGGATTTTGTGATAACGGTCATATATATACATCAGAATGCCCCAAAAATATGTACGAACAGCAGCAGCTTTAATGGCCATTTATCAGTCACTATTTCATCGCCGTCAACTGTGCCAAGACGCTAATGGTGGTCATTTCGAACACCCACACTAGATCAGCTAATTCACTGAGTGCTATTGCTGACTTATGTAATGATTTGCTTTATTTAAATGCCTGTATTTAATTCATTGAATGTCTGTATACATCTTTTTGGGACATCTTATATATAGCCTTAATCAAGAATCGCATTGTGCAAAGCATGCGGAGTTCTAGTTTAACATGTAATTATGAAGAGCACGTCATGCAAGGCAGCCTGGAAACTAGGCTACCTGTGCTACATGATAGCTTGAATAATGAACCGAGTGATGTATTTCTGGAATGGCAGTTTGGTGGGGGCAATTATTGAGTGGTGAAAGTGAAAGGGTGATTACTGTCTCGTTACCGGGCGGGTACACTACGTACAATTAGGGGACTGCGTTTTGGAAAATACCCCTACCCCGTTTTATTTAAGTGCATGTTCCAAGTACAGAGAACTATAATTGTGCCCGTTGTTTTGTATATGTGTGAAAATAAGGTCTCTCACCTAAGGGAAGAACACAGAAAAGAGTATACGAAAACAGGGCGCTGAGAAGAATATTTCGACCTAAGATGATAGGTAGCTGGAGAAAACTGATGATCAGGTGATACATACATTTTGTTATTGTCCAGATATTATTAGGATGATCAAATCAGTGATGAGATGGTCGGGACATGTAGCACTCACGAGGTTATGAGAAATGCGTAAAAAATTTGGTTGGAAAGACGAAAGGAAAGAGACCTCTCGGATGACCTAGACGTAGACAAAAGGATATTACTACAATGAAACTTAAGACAGCAGGGTGGTAGGGTGTGGAATGGGTTCATCTAGCTTCTTATTGACTTAGAAAGACAATTGGCTCACGTCACTTGTGAATGATTTTAGGCAGTTGTATTTTTCGAATTGAATTTGTGGTCTGCTTACGCTTAAGAATTATTAGTACACATGTCAATGTTTTATTTTATAATGTATCAAGATATTACAAAGACCCGGCATGTCAGAAATATATATGTATACATATGCACGCACACGTCACATTTAGACACGTCCAACTTCTGTAAATCAGGTACATCTGGAATTTATTTGGCTGTCACCATAAGAAACACACGCCTCTTTTGTGCACACGTCTAATGTCGAAAGTTAATTCACGAAGTTTAATGACACATTTCGGCAATCCACACGTACACGTATATCAGACTGTAAGCGTAAAGTTCTACTTGCCTCCATCTTGCATACGTCACTGAAAGGAGAACGTCCTCTCGTCTTCACTGTACGAAGCACACAGTAGTTTAATATGTATCGCAGGAAATAAATGTTGTTAATTATCCCGATGAGCATATTTGTTTGAGTACCGACGATCGAAAGCTTGAACTTAAGAAGGTGAATAACTCTTAGCTAAGTTCCAAGGCAAACATAGAATCACGGAGACTGCACTGCCTCCCGAGAAAATCAATAACGACTGACTTTCACTTCCGGGGCTGACATCGATCTCACGTATTTAACGCTTACATACAGGTCTTTCCAATCGAACCGAACCACGTAATTTTCAGTTTAGTGTTCCCTCCGTTAGAGTTCGTGAATTTGTGAGCTCTGTTGTCGGCCAATCGCTAAGTAGAAGTGTTATTGATTTACCTGACCGCAACAGCACGCCATCACCAGTCTAATTCACATGCTGCCATCTGTACGCTACATTTAATGCGTACGAACAGTTGCATAATTTTCGAAAACGTTTTTGATCTTTGCAATTCATATTGCATATTTTATTGTTGTCTTTATTAATTTGCGTCACTTGAATGTGTTTGGATTCAATTGTAACACCTTTATTTACGTATGATGAATTCTGTGCGCGATTCCTTTCGTATGAAGCTACAACGCGCTTACATAACCGTAGTCACTATCTGTTTCTTCGCCATAAACATCTTTCTGCACTCATTTTGTGAATTTGTTAGTGCTATGACGTATCTGTACACGTATAGGCACCAGACAGAAAATGTAAACAAACGTCTTTGTGCATAATTCATCGCTGATAAAGTCGGATGTTGGTGATCGTGGCCGATTTCGCGTTTCTTCCACCTCGTGACTTTGATGCCGTCGTGTGAATTTATTGCAAGTGTTGTGACACAAAAGAGTATTTATTTTTATTACTTACCTGTGGCACGACGTCCATACAAAATTTCAACAATTTCCGACAATCCATGGTCTGTTTCTAAAATTCGTGCTCAGGCCGCCATGTGCTGCTGGCGCAGAATACCCCTGTTGGGTTGAGTTGGGTTAGTTAGGTTAGGTTAGGTTAGGTTAGGTTAATGGGGCATCTGCGCAGAAGATGATGCGCAGTAACGTCATGCAAATTGTCTGTGTTAAGGCATCGTATGAGTTCTATTATGAATTGCGGGAAACTAAACACTCAAATATTTGAATGTTTTTAAATTATAGAACAATCTTGTGTTTGAGTCACTACCATAGCTATATACTTCAAGTTTTCACATTGGTTACTACTTGTGGACCTCGCAACACAATTGGCTCACGTCACGTATGCATGACTTTAGGCAATTGTAGTTGTTGAATTGCATATGTGGTCTGCTTACGCTTAAGTATTATTAATACACATGTTAAAATTTGATTTTAAAATATATCGAGTGCATAACACCTTGTTGATAAAGTCGGATAATGGTGATGGTGGCCGATTACGCGTTTCTTCCACCTCGCGACTTTGATGCCATCGTGAGCATTTATTACAAGTGTTGTGACACGAAAGAGTATGAATTTTTATTACTTACCTTTGGCACGACGTCCATACAAAATTTCAGCAATTTCCGAAATCAATGGTCTATTTCGAAAATTCGTGCGCAGGTCGCCATGTTCAGGTGACGCAGAATACCACTGCTGTGTTGAGTTGGGTTACTTGATGAGATGCTTTTATTTTATCTGAAACACCAAATAGATTCCGGTCAGAAATATCTCGTGCAAAGCCTAGTGGATATTTATTACGTATTTCACGTAGTTGTCGTCATGAAACGGAATAATACGCCTCAACACATTTCACATTGATTTGACAAGTAGGTTTTAATTTCGAAAATATATTACCAAGCAAAAGATCTGTACCGTACATTATATTGTGTTAGATTCGCTCCCATAGCCTATGTTCATATTATCGATGCCCGGGAAGTCCACAGTACAACGATGGAGTGGCCTGTAACAGTATGTTGCGCTTATCACGTTTTATGAAAATTCGTCAACATGAATAAACGACGGAATTTAGTTTTGTGGAATGAGGGACGCACGTAGGCCAAATATATTAATTTGTAATGTATGATCTAAAATTTCTCGGTATACCGAATTAATAAAATCTTTTCGAGATATCAGCTGATAGATCATTTTATTAACGTTGATTTATGAATATCGTAATCTTCTTTTCCTCTCTCAAGGTTTAGGTTCATTACGCTCATTCTGAGGTTACTGTGAAAAGCAACGACGGAAGAATAACTGGATTACTGACCGACCGACCAACCGAACAACAAACCAGTCACGTCATCCAGGATCTATCTGTTACTTAGCGCCGAAATGTTCTGTAATTATGGAACCATAAGGTTTATCAACATGCTCACAAAAGTCCACTATTGGAGCCCATTCTGAGCCAGATGCACCTAGTCCACATCCTCACATGCTGTTTCTCAAAGTTTTCCCATCTATGCCTAGGTCTTCCAAGTGGTGTCTTGACGAGCTCGCTGTTGTGTGGAAGATGATATTAAAATGTATTTGTGTGTTGCAGAACTGCGTGGCGCGCGCCCTTTATGATAACATCGCCGAGTCACCGGATGAGTTGGCCTTCCGGAAGGGAGACACGCTCACAGTGCTGGAGCAGAACACGGGTGGCATCGAGGGTTGGTGGCTCTGCTCATTGCGAGGGAGGCAGGTCAGGCTACTGTCCAAATTCTTCTTAATTCTTCATCTTTCGCGTGTTTTCCTCCATCTTGTTCTTGTTCTAGTATTCTTGCCTTCTTTTTGCCTTTTCGTTGTTCTAAATCTTTATGTCCTTTTCGCCTCTTCAGTTTTATCGAAAAATGTAACGGAATTATATAAAATTATGGTATTAAGTCTACACATAAAGTTTCGTCCGCACTGGTCCTCTGTGAGATCATTCGATCAATTTTCCCTGTGTCTAAGCACCACGCCATGAAGGCGGAGTTAAAGCTTCACGTATACCGATACTTAATTGTCAAAATGTTAATGTCTGGTCAACTGTACGCTTCCATTGGATAGGATACTGGGTGTTCCTCAAAGTCGATCTGGACACAGTTGTGGCGGGGAGAAGAGTCATGGTTCTCCGTGAATCGAATCCTGGTCGTTCACCCTAATCACTTTACTGTCAAGCATCCCTGAAATATTTTTTGTCTTGTATGACAGGGCATCTGCCCCGGGAACAGACTGCGCCTCCTGGCGGGTGTATACGACACGGGGCAGCAGCTTCTGTCCGAAAACCCTGAGCTGCTGGAGCTGAACACGTTGCAGCGTCAGGGGAAGAGACGCAGTTGGCATGCGCAGCCCAACAAGGTGAGTTCTGCGATGTGCCGTCAGAGATGGTTGTCCTTCATTTGAGGCAAAAATGACTAGCAGGTATAGGCGATGTTTCTGTACATATACGGGACGGCGTGCAAATGGAATAAAGGTAAATGTACACGCTTTCTAGACCTCGGGACTATGCTAGAAACCGGACAAGTTTGTACTATAGCACCGAGAGCTACTGTAAACCAGTCAGTGATACAAGGTATCCAAGTTGCGAAGTAGTCTGTTGAGACATGTAGGCCAAACCTTGGACTTTGATACCCGTAGGCCTAGTGATAGTGTGGGGATATCTAACATGGATAAATAATGTGATAATAGTAATAAAACAGTGGTAATTAATACGATCAGTCGTACGATATTGTTAGAATTACAGTACATGACAAGTTCCTCCCAAGTGATGCATAGCAACAAATGACAGATATAGCCGATGCCCTTGTTGAACACAATGCAACAATAACTCGTGTTTTCCAGCAACACTTCTTATGGTTATAGGAACCTTCGTCGTAACAAACGAAGGGGCAAGGACGAAGGGTGGAAATGTGAATGTTGTGCAGGGGTTTGAATGAAGTGGCCTTGCCCTGAACAAGTAGAAGTCTGTATAATAATTCTTTGTAATGGGGACTAGCGTATCTAAGGGCAGTTTCAACCGGAGAGAATTACCCTCATCCCATTCTCCGTACTGAAATGTTTTGAATGAAATAGAAAAAATGGTCGACATGTTTATGAAAGAACAAACATTATGTCTAGACGTACGCCAGTTAATTTTATATAAGGAGGGCGCAAATATGTACCCTAAAATGGAGCACACAGGACGTTTGAATACGCTCTTTGATATAGAGCCTTGATGTTCATTTATTGCCGTTGTTAATCCATTGTTAAAATTAATCAACAGTAGAGGTGACGGTGGCTGTCTTGTGGGATGTTGCTGCGTGCTGTCTGGTTGATATTAATCACCGTTTCAGATGTGCTCACTGCCTCCACGTTGGTTCTGATGATGGAGGCAGTAAGTATCTCTGAAACGTCGAGCAACAACCCAGAATACAGCCATCTTCACACTCGTCGCAGTGAGAATATGAAATCTCGATAGTAGAGATAATACACGTCATTGATACATTTCTGTTTTTTAACATTTCCTCCGATATAGGCCTACATCACATCGAAAACATTTTTTTCAGATGGCAATTACAGATAAGAATGAGATAGCTAAATAACTTCTACCACGTAAAAGTATATTATAATGTGTAAGTTGAATATGATCTTCATGTCAAATAGTGGTTATAATGAGCCCGCAAGGACCCAGTTTTAGTCTCAACATCTCATACCAATTTAACCGACATCCATTAATTTGTTTGGAAAATTAAATTATGAATCGATTGATTACCGTTATCCTTTCTGAGTGGCAGACTATAGATATCGCAGCTCTCTTCACATTTATTCGCATGGTGGATACACATTCTGATTAGTACACTTCATTTACGCGGTACAAAGCCGCTTTTTCCATAGAAATGAACCCTGCAGCACAAGCCACGCGACTAGTGAGGTCGGAGGATCAGGAAAGTCATATTTGATTTGAGCAATAAAGCTCTTGCTATAGCAAGGGGCCTGTGTTTCTCCTTAAAGATGCCTGTCATCTCAGGGTTAGGACGAAAGGCTTCATATAGAGGAATTTCTCTCTTTAATGTGTGTTTTAAACGGGGGAATTAATGTTGTGTTTAGCTCTTTAATTGCCTAATAGTGTAATTAGTATCTTGGACAAGAATCAGCAAACTTCACTTCATTGTTTTTATCACGTGAGTACTGATATTAAAATGGACTCTAAGCGAATGGGTGATATTACGAGAAGATTAATGATACTTCTACGTACACATTTAGTCTCTCCAAAGCTTGACCGAGTTTTAGCTTCTGTGAGGGAAAACAGAGTTCAGTTACGAGAAGTAGTCAGTCCTGTCCACAAATAAGGACACCATTTTCTCTCACTTCATGAGACAATACAGTTTTCAAGTATGTATTCATTTATGCTCATTTGTTATTTAGATGAACAGATTACTAACATAATTAATTACAAAGAGATATAATAGACTAAGCCTGCATGCTTTCTAATTTCATTAAATATAAATGACATCAAAAGTTGTCTACATGAAAGATTCAATTCTTAATGAGTTGTGTATTTTATGTAGAAATTAAGGTTCTCACGGTGACGATCATGAAGATGGCTGTCTTCTGAGTTATAGCGATCGTCCTGATGATTGAGGCAGCAAGTACCTCTGAAACATCTGTAAACTTCTAGTAGACTACACGGCGCTACAACCCAGAAGACAGCCATATTCTGCATTTTATGGTTTGTAAGTCTGTATATTCTTATTAAAACGAGCCATTTTTCATAAATTTGAGTTCCATGTAAAGTCGGACAATATTGGACTAATACGGGTCGAAGTAATTTAGCCGTCAACGTCGATAAGTTTATATACCTTTCCGAATTTCGTTTCTATCCTTCAAGTAGTCTGGGAGATGAAACATGTATACAAGGACCCGCACGATTGTTCCCAGTGTTCTGTGTTCATGTCTTGCATTGAATGCTGACATAAAATAATAGAAACAACATATTTTCCCAAAATGGGCCGATCTTCCTAACTAGGAACTACACCCAGTCTCCTTTCAAACGTCACGTTCTGTCCTCGTGTCCTTAATTGGCAGTACAGGACCCTACGAGTTCAACTTATCCTCTGCTATGAACATATCGGGGCAGTTCTCTCCTTTGCACCTTGAGGGATCCTTATTGGTGTTCGAGAAACTCGCTTGCTGATCCAAAAGACAATTCCCGCTTGTGGGACAATGATCTGTTACTTAAGCTTTCAAAACAAAATTGGTAACTACTCGTACACGTACCATCTGTTTTAATATCCAAATATTGCAATATGCCTATTTTGTATACATGGGTTTTGTGTGATTCTCAGAATAAACAAATGTCCCTAAACAGCATTAACCAACTATTACTTAGATGAACTTCATGCTTCAGAGGATTAAGTAACACCGAATAGAGAGTCTCTCCTAATGTTTCTGAGTGTTGCAGTATTCTGAGTAGCAGTCTTTGGTATCTGGGTTCGAATCTCGGCTCGGAGGCAGGCTATCCTTGCGGTATTTCTTAGTACGTTTCCTAAATGCTTATTCAGTCAGGCAGTAGGACTCGTTTGATAAAGGATCAGACAACCACTAAAACCTACATAGAAAAATGTGTGTCCAGATCGGGATTCGAAGACCGCTTATGGTTTGTCGTCAGGCAAACTAATGGCAATACGAATTAACTGCATGGTAATTGGCGTTGCTCGAAGAGGGTGTTGGCTGTTAAGCGTCTCAGAAAATTCCAGATTGTTAAAGAAATCGAAGGTTCGGGCTTGAATCTTATCCTGAGCCATTTCAGCCCAGTTCACAGGAGAGTGATCACTTTCACACTTGCCCCATTTAACACCGAAGAAACAGCCCCTGGTACCAATTGGACAGGAGGCTGAGTGGGTCCCATGTCAGTTTGGAAGTGGACGCTAACAGGAAAATCTCTTGCCCTATCAGGAATTGAAACCCGGTCGTTCAGTCCGTGTTACTTTGTTTTTGGTAAACAGCGGTGACGTCATGAACACTGTAG